GGGGGGGGGGGGGGGGGGGGGGGGGGGGGGTTGTATATGCGTATCCTCCTCTAGCAGCACCTGTCATCGGGGTAGCTCGGGGTAAGCTCGGGGTAGCTCCGGGCTATCAGTGGGTAGCGGCACCTGCTGTGACCGAGCACGGGAACGTGCCACGCCTGGAACTAATCCAGTAGACAGCAATCAGAGATGCACTGCACACACAACTCGTATTGCGAATAGCGTTGGGAACAGGGAACAGTGGGAAGCCAATTCAGGGCGTACGCACGGCAGTAGATCTATCTTAATTTCTTAAATGTATCTGATGATTCTGATCGCATTTGCAGTCGGGGGGCATGCATGCATCTGACCGCAATTACGTCCCAATAAATAAGTCCTAGTGTGAGTATTGCCCTCACATACTCAAAGAGATAGCATGTATTTACCAAATGGCGCATATGCTCTATAACGTGTCACGCCCGAGCAGAAGTGCAATACCGATTTGAAAAACAGGAATGGGAGGAGGAGGACGGAGACACCTGCAGGCTGCAGCCAATATATTTCGTGTAGTCTTAGAATATTTCTGGGGATCCGATTAACGCAATTCCTCCTTCGCTCGCTTTCAATTTCTAAATCCAGTGCAGTGCCATTGCTTGCACACTTCTTCAAAATTCGACCATTCCTCCAGATTTTTTTTTTTTTTGGGTCTAACCATTCCTCCAGCTTGAATGTTGTTCAATCAGCAGATCACAAGGTCTTAAAAAGTTGTGAAAACAAGAAAGAAAAAGAAAGTTGTTGAATCCACACACATGTGCCCTCTCGGGAGTCGGACAAGCCAGAGCTGGGGGAAGAATCTTCTCTCCATACATACGTCCCATTTCGGGAGAGTGCGACGAGTCAACTAGCCTGCCGTTGTGTACCAAGCAGGCAATGAAAGTGTGTGAGAATCTGGAGTGACGGCTAATTCGGGCCAACATACTCTCACACATATCCCATATTCAGCACCACTGTTCAGTTGGGAGAGAGAGAAAGTGGAAGGGAGGGGGGAGAGAGAGAGAGAGAGAGAGAGAGAGAGAGAGAGAGAGAGAGAGAGAGA